TTAAAATTGTTTTTAAGTATAGCAGGTGCAACAGGAACGCTGCAACGGCAATACCGAATCAGCATGTGACACGAGTGAATCTCATTTTTGAGTCTGGCCTCGCAGCTGGAAAGAATCCACATATTGCTACCGATACGAGTACCATGCGAAGTAATAGCGAATGCGCTAAGGCGAATCTCAAGCAGATCGATCGAATATGATTTGGATTTGATGCCATCAAAAATACTAGCTATTATTCCTCTATATAAGACGTTTTATTCCTTCGTGTTTAAATAAACGTTTAAAAAATTAGTGAGTTTCGATCCGCTCGTCCCGATCGAGACTGCTTTGGATCGACGATCGATACTTTATTTGTCCGCCTCTATACACGAAAACTCATATTCAGGTGCTTGTATAAGGATCGAGAAGATCATTATCGATGTACACTTTGTCTGTTACGAAATCGATGTTTACGCGCGTCGACGTGTCAAACTTTATATCGACATGCTCTACACTTTTATCTCGATGTTGACGAACATTGCGCATACTGAATGGTATGATCAATATTTTACGATGCAAGTGTCTAAAGAATCTCTGTCTTTACGTGTCAGTGTGTACCGATTGTATGTCGTTGCCCCGAAATGTTAATTTTCTGGCCTCTTAATCTTCGTTAATGTTATTGTGATTAATTTCTAAGAGGATTTTAGAGTAATCCGTTGGCATGAGGCGATGTTTAAATGGTTAAGTAGCGTTATTAAGCAGCACGTAATTTCGTTGTGCCCCCGTTTTGCTCAGAATTTTTCAAAATAAGATTCCTTATGATTTAGAGGTATATTTATTATTTAAAACGACAAGGGGGAAGGATAGATCTCTAGTTTGTAAGAATACGCTGGACCGTGTCGCGTGTTTCAGTTGTTTATTTAACCTTTTGCGTGCTTTAATTAAGATCGTTGTACTAAATATTACCCGGTTAGTAACGCAATAGCTAACAGGAAGCAGAAAAAGACGAAGAAAAAGACGATTACGTTGATTTTTTTTTTAAAGCTTTTCTCCCGAATTATCTAACGCTTAAGCTTTTTAACACTTCACTACGTTACACGTGCTAAAAGAGTTAACCCAATTATTGTCTGTCGGAGCATTTGGTCGACAAAGTGTGTGTTATTTTTATCATCGACGTTGCGGCTTTTGCAGTTACGGGGAGAGTTAAAATCGTAAGTGATAGAGTGAAATAAGTTATTGTAATTTACATATCGTTGCCTCTGCGGAGTTGATAATTTTCAGATAATAATAATAATAGGATTATCGAAGCCGACATTAAAAGTAGTTAAGAGCCGTTTAACGATAAGCGTAGTAGCGAGAATGCAAAATTGGTAATGAACCGAGCGTCCAGCATTTTATAAAAGCTCAGCGTGTCCGTCGAGACGAATGCTGTTATATGATAAATATTTATTTGCCACTTATTAATTTTTTATCGGAATTAGTACGATAGCGATACGAGGCTACGGAGACTATTCTTAAGCAGTGCTTAGCTATGAAAAGAAAACAAAAAATGGCGGCAATTGAACGCGTAACATCGATGTTCAGGAACGTAGCGTTAAGGAATTTAATATAATTTGGTACAAATACCGCGGTGAAATTTTTATCATCAGCAAGCAGCGTGTGTAATAAACGAGGCGAAAAAATAAAAGCGAAGAAACGTCGCCAAAGAATTGCATTTCGTGCCATTTTAGGAAAATTATACTCTGGTCTAGTAATGGAGCATATATAGGGCGCTACTCTTTAAATCATGAAATAAACTCGGAATGTAAAAGTCCAAAAGAATGTAAAAATTTCATTGGTTTCTACAAATTTGGACAAATGATGTGGTATACTGCCCACGCGAATTTTCTAGAGCGCTGAAAGTGCCGTTTAAGGATCGCGTTAAAAGTTGAAGGTTGCGGTTGCAAATGTTGAAGTAATAAGGTTGTTGAACGTGTAGGATAAACGTGTTCAGAATCAGGGACAAGCGAATAATAAGGGCATGTTGTAATTTAATGATTGTTAATACTATTTAAAATGGTGTAACAAGTTGCGAGCCTACGTTGTACGATCGCAATTTATTTGTTAACGCGAATATAATACACTATCAGACGCAAAAGTGATAATTTGTTGACCTACCTCAATGCAAATATACATATATGTGTACGTGTACGTTTCTCCCTCCTTTCTGTGTCATTCCGAACACCATGCGGATAAATCGAAACAATACTTTCGTCGCGCGAACGACTATTTTAAGAAGAAAGAATTGTTAACGACTTCAATCGAACGTTTTAGAAGATACTGCGTTCGAAATAAGTTTTTCCAAACAGCGAAGGCGACGATGATCGAAGGCCTAGATCGGCCTTGACGATTTGCAATAAAGTTTACATGTCGTTGGATCTACTTTATTGTGTTTTTCTTAAATAAATATACTTGGCTATAGGTGTTAGAAACTCGAAGGAATGATTCTATATGGCAAAATTAGACTAAAATCAAGAATTACGAAATTGAATAACAAACAAAAATTTTCGAGAAAACTCCTTCTATGAAACAAAATATATATGTATATATATAATTTCTGCTAATCACTTTTTGACTATAAATAAAATATTTATAAATGTGTCTACATATTTACGTGTGTACGCATATGTGTATGTCTGTTAACACGATTGCGTCTAAAAGGCTAAATAGATTTCAATGAAACTGTATATTTTAAGTATATTTAATATTTATATCTATAATATATATAATTTAATATTAATTATATTTAATTTAAATATATTTAAGTTTTATATTCTCATCTCAAAAGAATAAATTTTGAATAAAATCGATCCATGAATGATGCTCATTCGTTTTTGTAATTTTTAGTTTTCCTAATATATATTCATTACCTGCAAACGTGTAAAATCATGTCTGAAATAAGCTATAAAGAAAATTAAATTATACAGGATGTCCGGCTAACCTTGGGAAAAATTTTAATGGGAGATTCTAGAGGCCAAAATAGGACGAAAATCAAGGATACCAATTTGTTGATTGAGGCTTCGTTAAAAAGTTATAACAGATAGAAACATTTCGGCCACACAGTATATTTTCGGTAAAGAATTTTTTTTTTCGAAAATAGTTAGGGTTTCGAGGGTATGTCTATTGACCAAAAATGATTGTAATTAACCCCTGCAATTGAAAATAATTTTTCCAGAATGATTTGAAACTTTTTAATTTCGCCAAAAAATTTCAGCACCTACCCTCTGTCGATTTTTCTTAAAAATTCGTTTTTCAATTTTAATAAATTTGTTTGACGTCCTACAGAGATTTTGTTTAGTACTTTTTTGTGGGTATCCATGAGCTCTACTTCCATATTAAATTTCAATGAGATACCTTTACTATTGTAGCAGTTATGGCCGTTTCAAAATTGGACTAGTTTTAGGGGATTTCTTTTCACTTTACGGTGTCAAGGAACAACTTTACGAATACTCCAATCTGTTCAGAAGTTATGACGTTTTAAAGATTAGCGTGAAATTTCGAGGTAACATTTCTGGTCAGAAATTATATTTTCCGAAAGGAATTTGTTGTTCGAAAACGGTTAGGAATTCAGAGGTATGTCTATTGATAAAAAATGATTGTAATTGACCCCTGCAGCCAAAAATAATTTTTTATAATGATTTAAAATTTTTTTTCGTTGGAAAATTTAGGCACTACCCCTGTCGATTTTTCTTAACAATTTGTTTTTCATTTTTAATAAATTTGTTTGACACTCTACAGAAAAGTTATCTAATACTTTTTTGTAGGTACCCATGGACTCTGTTTCAGAAAAAGATTTCGATGAGATACCTTTACTATTATAGGAGTTATGGCCGTCTGAAAACTGAACCAGTTTTAGGGGGTCTTCCTTACTTTATGGTGTCAAGGAACAACTTTTCACTATTTTTAGAGTTTTTACATATTCTCCACTAAAATACGCGTTGATTGCATTTTGAAAAATGAAAATCCTCCAATCCATTTAGGAGTTTATGACATTTTAAAGATTCGCATTTTCAGGGAAGCATTCTCTGGCTTCAAATTAGATTTTCGGTAAAGAATTTTTTTTTCGAAAGTGCGTAGGATTTTGGGGGTATGTATATTCATAAAAAATACTTGTAATTGACCCCTGTAACTAAATATAATTTTTTTAGTATGATTACAAATTTGTTAAGTTCGACTAAAAATTTCAGTACCTACTCGAACTTTTTGTTCGAAAGTGGATAGGATTTTGGGGTATGTATATTCACCAAAAATGCTTATAATTGACCCTTGTAACTAAATACAATTATTTTAGTATAATTTGAAATTTTTTAATTTCGTCTAAAAATTTTAGTACCTACTCGAATTTTTTTCTCGAATGTGGATAGGATTTCAAGGGTATGCGTATGTATAAAAATGATTGCAATTGAGCCCCGTAACAAAAAATAATTTTTTCAGAATGATTTAAAATTTGTTAATTTAATTTTTGTATAACTTTTTAATGAAGCCTCAGTCAAGAAATTGATATTCTTGATTTTCGTCTTATTTTGGCCTCTAGAATCTCCCATTAAAATTTTTTTTAGGGGTGGTCGAACACTCTATATGTATAAATAATGATAGGCTCGAATTTTATTTTTTTCTCGTATTTTCCGCAATTAATAATTTGGACACATCACCCAGAACTTTTGTCATTTTTATTTTCGTCTTATTTTACCATTTGGAATCGTTTAAATAATTCATTACGAAAATATCCTCACTATTAAAATTAATGCATAATATCACTACCGAGGCAAGAATTAATTGTAAAAGAAAAGTGAATCAAGATTAATTTGTTGTTACGTCGTATCGTCATTCGCAATAAAATTTATATCATTTGATCTACTTACCTATTCTATGTTACACCTAAGAAGAATAAATTAATTTATTTATAATTTCGACGAGTATAGAATCGTCTGGAAGAAAAATCAAGGATTGGACAATAACTTTAGATTTATTATCGCAGCTGATTACTTTCTTTCCAACAAAGTTGTTAAGCGTCGCGAGGTTCGCGAAGCGCCATGCTTAATCTGAACAACATATAATCCATCGAAGACGCGAAGGAGTATAGACAGTCTGGAACTGGTGCGATTTCAATTAACATTTGTCGACCGTTTCTATTCTTTCTTCATACAATGACCGCATTTTCTACAGAAATCCGTGTTCTCCTTGTCGCCATCGTTTGTTTTATCAGGATCTTCGTGTTGGTCGGGCACAGTTGACAAATCACCGGTGTATGGACGATGACCAATCGCGCCTATTGTTTCGCTTCTGGGCAGATTTGCTTCGGTCGTAACCATGGACATTAAATCGTTCGAGCAATCTTGAGGAACGATCTTGACAGAGCCGTTCGCGACTCCGTAATTCGAGTGAGTCTTGGAGTTCTGCTTTTTCAGAGATTTGTCCACCTTCGAGGCATCCGGCGAGTCCTGTTGGGCCGTTGAATGTTCGGCAGAAACATCTAACGACAGAAAGTTTAAGAGAGGTTACGCCATTATAGAAAGTTGAAGAAATCGATTTCGTAAGAAATTTGTTTTCATGTGTAATTTAGTCCTTTCAGCGCGAATAACCGGTTTTGTATAATGGATGGAAAATAATAAAATTATTGAAACGAGGTATTTTTATTTTAACTTCTGAAAATGTATTTGACTGTTCTAACGCTTCGACTATCGAATTTGATTTTTTTGACGATAATATAAATTTAAGTTATGTAGAAAATTTGTGGCATGAACTAGACCGCAGAATCATAAAAGCTACAATATTATAATTTACAAGGATATTAGTTAAAGATCATTTTATAGTAAGACGTTGTAAAATATTTATAACTATAGACCTATTGCAATGATTTATATTAAAATATTTTAAACATATATGCGGCTTGACTAGACAGTTATTATATATTTAATAAAAGAGCAAACTTTTATAGTAGAATTTCTTGTTAATAGTGTACCAATAATAATAAAATTATTAAATATAAAAAAATCGTCAAAGACCTTATACATATACTTATATTAAATGTTCTATAAAAGTATTATATTTAACAATGAAAATATCAAATAGCATTAGTAACAGAAGCTGTATATTTTAGTGAGCCAAGAAGGTTACGAAAATTTACAAAACAAAGAGTAAAATAAAATGAATGTACAATAGTTGTACGTTATTATCTAACAAAAAATAATTAAAAAGTCTGCATTAAATTTGACAAACATAACTCTTGTAAATTATGTAGAGATAAATTACGTGCATAAAATATATTGTATATTTAAAACCATCGGAGGAAGAAGATTTATTATAAATATTAGGTGTACAAATGAATAATCCAAATTATCTTAAGCAGTTATAAAATCAAGTTTAAAGTCAATAGATTTTTCCGCTCTTTTGCGGTCATATAGTGTTGACATATAGCTAGTTACAACAAAAAATAGTTTAGCGGAAGGCCCAACATAACCTTCAAAAGTATTCAATTCAGTAGAGTCGAAAATGGCAACAGATAAGGTGCATATCCAACACTGCATTCTTTACGAATTCCAACAAGGGAAAAATGCTGCAAGAGCATGCAAATCGATTTGTTCCTTTCTCGGTGAAGGTATTGTATTATATGATGCGTGCGCATTTTGGTTTAAGCGGTTTGAAAGCGGTGATTTGAGTTTAATCGACAAACAACGTCCTGGAGGCCCTTGGAAGTGCGACAGCGATGATTTGGAACAACTGCTCGCTGAGAATGCAGCACAAACGCAAAAAGAACTTGCAGAACAGTTAGGAATAACCCAGCAAACGATTTCCAAACGCCTACGTGAGATGGGAAAGATCCAGAAAGAAGGAAAGTGGGTTCCGTATGAACTCACTGCAACCAACAAAAATCAACGAGTGGCAGTGTGTCTTTCTTTTTTCAATAAGCAGCGGCGAAAGTCTTTCTTGTGGAAAATCGTTACGGGCGATGAGAAGTGGATACTCTATGACAATTCGAAACGCAGAAAATCATGGGTAAATCCCGGCGAAGCATCAACATCGGTTGCAAAACCCAATCGCTTCGGAAAAATGGTTCTTCTCTGCATTTGGTGGGATATCAAGGGCGCGGCTTATTATGAGTTGTTAAAACTGAGTGAAACAGTAACTGCGGACTGCTACCAACGTCAATTCATCTGCTTGAGTCAAGCATTAGAACGAAAACGTCCGTATACTGACAAAGGAGAACGTCCAGTGAAATTGTTGCATGACTACGCCAGGCCACATATTGCTTTTCATACAAAAGACACCATAATGAGTCTTGGCTGGGACGTTTTGCAGCACCCGGCGTATTCACCAGACATTGCTCCCTCTGATTATCACTTGTTCCGGTCGATGCAACACGCCTTATCCGATATGCACTTCCAATCACTGGATGAGATCCGAAAATGGCTTGACGACTTTATCGGGCCCAAAAAGATAAAATTTTTCCGAGATGGAATTCATCAACTGCCTAAAGATGGCTTCAAGTTATAGAAAGTAACGGCGAATACTTTGATTGAACAATTCAATTTACTTTCTTTTAAAATAAACATTGAATGTGGCTGGAAATATTGGATTATTCATTTGTACACCTAATAAATAAATACAGCTGTAGCTTTAAAAGTGTTTTCATACAAACAAATATCACGTGCTTCAATAAGTTGCGAACCACAGGTATATATTACCACTGGTATTTATACCCGGAGAAATAAATGTCAATTTTTAATAGCAATTAATATTGCTTGCCATTATTGGATTGATTGGTGTCGGATCCAGTTTCACCGGTCCCTGAAGAATCTTCGTCTTCGTTTAGTGGCAATTCAGGGGACATTTCTATGGCTGGACGACAACAGGCATATCCCTAGGACACGAGAAATGTGTTTTATTAATATTCTAATCGAAGTAAATACCAGGCTTCAAACACGCAGTGTATACAAATTATGTAATTATTTTAGAAATAAAAATATTAAATGCTCCAAATTTCCATATTTGAGATCAAGGGTTATCGAAATGAAGAAATACGTTGTAGTTCACTTGCAATTAATGATAATTTTAGTCATCTTTTCGCTGGTGACGAATTTGTTTAAAAAATAAAGAATACATTTTTGCGAACAAATAAACTTTTATCGCTGAAATTACGTTCCTCGAGGAAACAAATGTAAATTCTTACAATTAGTAGCAATAAAGCACGGTTTTTCATATTTTTCGTAGTTTCGTATCATGATTTGTAGGTCGGAAAAAAATAAGTTTGATTAGTTAATAAAGTAAAAGCAGTAAAACTATGGTTTGTTATGTAAGAATAAAAAAACATATTATTTACCTGTACGAGATCCATACGTGAATCTAAGGAAAATTGTTTTCCTGACATGAGTATTCCTCGAATTCGGCGTCGCATAGCTGTAAATACAAAGCGAATGAATCTTAATAAACGTAAACACGGTTTTCGTTTCAATCTATAATTTTTTAAATATTAATTATTTTGTCACATAAAAATCTGTATATCTTCTTGAAGGTATTACAAAAATTTTAATATGAATAACTTGAAACATATCGAGCTTCTGACCCAATAATTTCGGAAGAATAAATTGTAATATTAAACATATTATAGAAATAGTATTTAGTTATCTAGTCACATTACTCTTTTCTCTTCAATATTTCTGTTATTCTTTGAACACATCTTGTAATTAAGTTATTTAAAATTAAAATAAAATAGATGTTTCCTAGTATTCGTTATATCTGAAGCCGAATTCTCGACTATTACTTACTTACTACTTTACATATTTTTCAATTTAAAAACGCCTAATATACAGGGTATTTCACCTAACTTGACCACCTTAAATATATCGCTTATTTTGTATGATAGAAAAAAATGTCAAGGGGAGAAAGTATTCTGTTCGAAGGCGCCAATACGGTGATGGATCGAATTTTTTTTTCAAGGTCATTTTTTTTCGAGATTTCAAGGTCATCGTATTTTTTTTAAATGGGACCACATATTTTCGCTACAACAGTCTTATAGCTTATAAAAAGACGAATCCAACGATGTGCGATATGTTGACCTTCACGTGACCTTTAGCGAAGGATTTATGAAATGTTTGTCAGTAACTTCAGTACGCGTTCGGAGACGGTAAATGAAGGAATTTCAATTTCATTGAAACAGTCTTAAATTAAATGTTTATTTTAGAAGGTGTTCAAAATGTGCACCATGAACCTGGATACATTTTTGGAGGCGGTAAATAAATTCTTGCTGAACATTTTTCAGTTGTTCTACAGTAATTGATCTACATACATGTAGAATCCTTTGTCGCATGTTTTCTGCTGTTGTGGGAATATCATTGTAAACTGTATTTTTTAGGTGCCCCCACAGAAAGAAATCAAGTGGCGTAAGATCCGGCGATCGAGCTGGCCAACAAATTCGTGCACCACGTCCTATCCAACGATGGGGAAAAATTCTGTTTAATACATTGCGTGCGACGAGTGCATTATGAGCTGGACAGCCGTCATGTTGATACCACATCCTTGACCGATATTGTAATGGAACTTCTTCTAGCAATATGAATAATTCATTTGTTAAAAAATCTTCATACTTTCGACCATTTAATGTTCCTTCGATAAAGAATGGGCCAATAACTCGGTGGTTGATTATACCGCACCACACATTCACACTCCATGGACGCTGATTCTGAATTTGCCTCAGCCAATGTGGGTTTTCCGCAGACCAATAGTGCATATTGTGCTTATTTATTTGCCCGTTATTCGTGAATGTGGCCTCATCGGTAAATAATACATAATCAAAAAAATTTTGGTTATGGTTCTGCACTTGATTCAATGCCCAGTTGTAGAAGACACGTCGTTTTTCAAAATCACTATCATCAAGTGCTTGATGCAACGAAACATGATATGGATGGAACTGGTTGCGATTCAAAATTCGCCACACGCTTATACGAGACATGGCAGACTCGGACGCAATCTGTGAGCAGCTGATATGCGGGTTTGCTTGTACTGCAGCTAAAACTGCGATTTCAGCTTCTTCGTTAGTTTTAATTTTAGTACGATTACGTTTACGTAAAACGACACTGCCTGATTCAGTAAATAATTTTACTATGCGGTCAAAATGTCGTCTGGAAGGAACGCGACGATCAGGATGTCTTTCTTCATACAACCGTTGTGCATACGTTGAGTTCCTTCCTGCTTCTCCGTAGATTAAAATCATTTCCACTTTTTCTGCTGTAGTGTACATGATGGAGAATCTTATTACACTGCTATCGATACCGCAACTTGTTGTGTATGTCGCGGCTTTTTGACAACGCGCTATTGACCCGCTTCGGTCATTCCCCTCTTACAATAATAATGCTTGTAAACATACTTCAACCGTTGAAAGGAGAATATGAATATCTATTTATAAGCACCAGAGACAATTACACGGTACACTGTTTCAATGAAATTGAAATTCCTTCATTTACCGTCTCCGAACGCGTACCAAAGTTACTGACAAACATTTCATAATTCCTTCGCTAAAGGTCACGTGAAGGTCAACATATCGCACATCGTTGGATTCGTCTTTTTATAAGCTATAAGACTGTTGTAGCGAAAATATGTGGTCCCATTTAAAAAAAATACGATGACCTTGAAATCTCGAAAAAAATGACCTTGAAAAAAAAATTCGATCCATCACCGTATTGGCGCCTTCGAACAGAATACTTTCTCCCCTTGACATTTTTTTCTATCATACAAAATAAGCGATATATTTAAGGTGGTCAAGTTAGGTGAAATACCCATTATACAGAAAATTGCATAGCGATATGAGAGTATTCATCGATTGAGGCAGATAGTTACGTAAGTATAGTATAAATATAGTTATGCTTTAAAAGCTGTTTACGATTGTAACCAATTCAGTTTTACTTACGTTATACAAATACTTTAAAATAGAACGGAATAATAAAATATTTTACTGGATTAACTAATTGTGGGCCAATTTTCCAGTTTCTTTATTATCTTTTTACCTGGGCTGTCTCTTGCTTCGAGTCGTAATTTTCCAAAAGCTTTCGTGCAGTCTTCGAACACATCCGCCGTGTCATATATGGCAGCGAAGCTGCCGTTCACGATTTTTGGTGACATCGGTGAATTGGCCAGCAACAAACTCGAACCAAAGTTTTCGTTCTTCTCTCGAGTATCTGGGAATCGGAACGTTTATTCAAGTATCAATTCCTAGCAACGTCGTTGTTAAGAAAACGATGCAATTAAACGAGCTAACGTAAATCAAGAAACACAAATCACAGTCAATTGGAAACTCGTCTTACCTGAGCTTTCTGTGCTCCAAGTATTATAGACAGTGCATTTTTACAGAACAAACAAAAAGAGAAACGAAACAATGCGATTAGAAAGTAAATTGTTTATTATAATTTGTACAGATTGTTTAGTGTAGGTTGGAAACTTAAATTGATCGGGGAACTGCAATAAAAATTAAACAATATTTTATATATTATTTATGTGAAGAAGCGTGTTCTATCGTGTGAACTTGTTCATAAATTACTTAGTTACATTCATTTGATCCAGGAACTTTAATGTTTAGTATCGTGTGCGTTGTCAAATCTAATATATCTGATTCTGTATTATTAACACAACACGAGAAATTTCATATTCTGATATTAAGGAACTAGAAATATACAGGGTGTTCGGCCACCTTTGGGAAAAATTTTAATGGGAGACTCTAGGGTCCAAAATGAGACGAAAATCAAGAATACCAATTTGTTGATTGAGGCTTCTTTAAGAAGTTATTAACGTTTAAAGTTCCGCATGTAGAACAGCTACGTGCGCGTGATAGTGGTTCTCACTCAGCATGAGAGACTCTACTCACTGGCGTATCGACAGCCTTACAGTTTTCTGAGTGAGAGCCACTATCACGCGTATGCAGCTGTTTTCAAGTTGCCGTTCTACGGGCGGAACTTTAAACTTTAATAACTTTTTAACGAAGCCACAATCAACAAATTGCTGTTCTTGATTTTCGTCTTATTTTGGCCTCTAGAATCTTTCATTAAAATTTTTTCCAGGGATGACCGAACTCCCTGTATATTCGTTCAAGAAACAATTGAATTTTTGTCAAAAGTAGCATAAGTGCATAAAAGTACATTTTTCATATATGCTCACTTTTGATTGGTATTTTAACAAGTACCCAACTGTTTTGAGCTATACCTCAAATATGAAACATTAGTTACGTCTGTGTCTTTTACCGTTGATTTGTATTTTTACATACTTTGTTTCAATAAATTTCCAATTCATACAACGTATGTGTACAGTTTGTTGAATAAATTCTGAATTTTCAAAATATGTATATTCACTTTTGACTCTCACTGTATATCTTTAGTAACGTTGAAAAATCGTGTGAAGCTTAAGTGGTCGAAAGTGTTTACTTTAATTTTTCACTGCGCTTCTGCAGCTCGCCTTAGTCTATTTACAACAAAAATAAAGTGCAAACGTTTGCAAAGATTTTTAATCTGGCATAAGTTGATATTACATTTAAACAACTCTGCAGTCTGTTATTTTTAAAACTTTGTTTTGGAAATACGCAATTAATATTGACGCCCATCGAACGTATGCTAAGGACATGGCCAAGAAATTTATATTATCGTATTTGTTGTAACATATGCCATGTTGTTTACATTAAAATATTAATTCACGGAACACGTGTAATTGAAAATGCTATTTACCAGTAGAGTTACTATCAGAAGATACGTATAGAGAGAGTTAAGTACAAGAAAAAGACAACAGAAGACTTATTTCATCGATTCAGACTCTAATTAAATATTCTTAATAAGAAAAGTACATGTAAGATTTTTTTTTAACGTATCTGAAGACTGTGTGATCGATTTTAAATTGGATTTATAAAATTATTTATAAATCCAATTTCATGGTTTTCCTAGCGTTAAGCGTTTGTATATTTGTGTACATTTATTGTTTAAAAGTCAGGAAGTTGCTTTTGATAAAGTTTTATTTCAATATCATTCCTCCCATGAGTAAATATTGAAAATAAACGGTATAAAGTCTAATTTGATCTAAGAAAATGAAACAAAACGATACCTTTAATAACAGAAATATATTAAAGACTCGATCGTATCAGCTGGGATCAATTGATCTACATTTCGATTCTGTGTTACCTGCGAGTGGAACTCTTGCTCGTACTGGTGAACTCGATGTATCACCTAGTATCTCGTTCGCTGTATTTCGTATCTCGGCCCAGTCTCTTAAAATATCCTCGTTGGTCGTGCTATAAGCATAACGAAAGTTAGAGACTTTACTATATTGTAATATCTTGTTTCGCGTCATTTTTTGCATAGGTGAAAAATGTTTTTAATAAAGATATATTTAATAATCTCTATCTACGTTGAACGAGAATTAGAATCGTAGCTGCAATTGTTATGCTGTTTAATTTTACAATTAGAGAGTCTTTGTAGAAAATAATGCAAGGGCCAAGAATCTAATTTTTCAACAGGAAAAAAAAACATTGAGAAATAAATTAATAATAAAATTTATGTTTCTATATTTCACTACGACTGCAATAATCTAAACATAATATGGGAAAAATTGTAATGGGAGATTGTAGAGGCCAAAATTAAAAAGTTATTAACAAAATTATTGTTAAAAATTATTAATAAAATTTGTCCACATACACGAATTTTTTTATAGGAGGATTTCGGGGATATGTCTGTTCACCAAAAGTGATTGAAATTGACGCCAGCAACAAAAACTTGAAATTTTTTAATTTCGACGAAAAATTTCTGCACTTACTGAATTTTTTTCTCGAAAGTGCGTAAGATTTCGGGGGTATGTTTATTTACCAAAAATGATTGTAATTAACTCTCACAACCGAAAATAATTTTTCCAGAGCGATTAGAAATTTTTTTTTCGTCGAAAAATTTAGGCACCTACCCGACATTTTTCTCGAAAATGGCTAGGATTTCGGGGGTATATGTATTCACTAATAATGAATGTAATTGACCTCAACAAGCAAAAATCATTTCTTCAGAATGATTTGAAATTTTTCAATTTCATTTTTTAATAACTTTTTAACAAAGCCTCAGTCAAGAAATTGCTATCCTTGATTTTCGTCTTATTTTGGCCTCTAGAATCTTTCATTAAAATTTTTCCCATGGGTGGCCGAATACTCTGTATAATTTCGTAATAAAATAATTGGATCTGTAGAAAAGCCTGTATATTCCATATCTTAATTTTCAGATGAACTGAAAGTACCATAAGTGCCAAGCCTGATTATTGGTAAAGTACTTAAGAATATTAAAATATAGAAAATATATAAAACATGCAGTATATTTCTTTAATATGATCTCATTTTTTATTAACCTATTTTCTTCGTTGTATAATTTCATTTTTTATATCTCGAATAACGCATTGGATGTTGTATTATTTTCTGCAAAAACTTGAATTATTTATTACTATTTACAAAGAGCTATGGTATTTAAATGGTCTATTATCGCATTCCCATTGATGCACAGAATATTAAAAAAAAAATTTTTTAATTTTAATTCTTAAATTGTTTTCTACGAACACTGTTGAATCGTTGATTAACTTACTTGGTCGAAGTGACGGTGAACCGAATCACGTATTTTCCGTGCAAAGCAGCCGGTACACAGTGTACTCGGCCCCTCGTGTTCATTTTCTTCAACAAACGCTCCGTCAGAGTGTTCTCGCCACGAAGACGGAACACAACGAGTCCTAAGTGCCTCGGCGCTGGAATTTCGAAGCGTGCATCGGCTAAAACTAGCGCTTCGAATTTTTGTGCCAACCTGACGCCCTGTGAAATTCGATCGTAATTGTCGTTGAACGATTTAACATTTAAACCGTTCTGTCATTTGAACGGCGCGATCTATAGATACGAAAGCAGCAAGTTTCCATAGGTTTCAAACCGTTCGTAATCATTTTATTCAATGGATTAATTTTAGCCAATCAATTTGTGATGTCAATTTTTCAATTATATTTAGACAACACTTAGTCCCATGTGAATTAGAACTCTCGTTTTCTTCTTGATCGCATTGTTCAAGTGCAAGAACGGCTTTAGTTATACGAGAGAGAGTAGTCTTTTTATTTTGTTTTTAGTGTTTAATTAAAATCAAAGACCGTTCCTTGGTATGTTTAAACACCTCAATTTTAGGCACGTAAAAACGTATATTTTTTTACGTTTCGTTAGTGTTGCCATTTTTAGGAATATTATTATGAAATATAGTGACAGAAAATAATCGCTGGTACAAAAGGAACCCAAAAATACGAAGATAAAAAAAGAAAATGTAAATAAACTTAATAATATACAGGGCCTAACAGATATACGTTTCATCCGTTATAAGGATGGTAAAGGAATTTAAACTTGTTACACCCTGTATATAGAAAGGGCAAGAGAACTTATACTAACAAGTATATAAATTTTTTTTTCAAATATCACACAGCCCCATACAAAAGCCTTAAAGATATTAACGAAAAAAAAGAAAATAAACTAAATTATATGTAAGGCAACTACGGGGGGCACGGTAATTACTTGTACAAGCGGCAATATATGTAGTTCATCAATGTGAGACAGTAAGTCGAAAGTAAGTAATTGACTTTGGAAATTTCTAATTAAGTACGATTTGAGGAGCCATTACTTTTAAAGCGATCTTTGGTATACAATATTTATTATAATTATGGATGAATAATTCTGAAACTGTGCATACATATTTGGCCATGTTTAGAGATTTTTGTACTACTGTCCTTATTATTAAAAAAATCGCATGTTACCTGATGTATGGTATTTTAAATGTCTGCCACGATTAGTGTCATTGTATTCACACGAAATAAAAAATTATAAAATGATTGTATCGCTATTGTCTACACTAAAACGAAGAAAAGAAAAATTTGTTAAAATGGCGGTCGTATAAAGTAGACACTTAGAGAATCGTTAACTTTTTCGAGTGATAACTAAAAAACTATTGTAGATATTACTATAATTTTGGTTCACACGATTGTTACATATCATTCATGCATGGGGCTGAAACGTTTGGTGACTTGGGCGTTGGCTCGAGCATCTAGCGTGCAACCCTTTGAACGGGGTTGACTCATGCCGTATGCGCACACCCGGCCCAATTTTCATTGCCTTTTATGGTAATGCCCCGCCTTAGTACTGAGCATTTTCAACTATATAAGGGCCGCGGTTTCTTACTCGGGGAGCTCAGTTTTACCTAAACTCTTGGCACGACGTTACTGTGACACTCAGGGCAAGATCGGACTATAATCCCCTTCAAGCAACTATCTACGACTATCTACCTTAGCGGTTTATCAGTGAGTGTCCAGTAATCGAGTGCGAGCTCCCGCGAACGCGCCGCGTAAAAGCCGATAACAAATCTTTCGCCTTCGAGGCAATTTAGCAATTGTACAACTTCTTGTAAATCCATAGCTGTACTTGAGCATCGTCAAAAATATATATTCAAGTTATTATTCCTTACGTGTGTTATTCACTCAAAGCAACCCTGAACCATATTAACCGTAAGGCTAGGGGTATCTCACGAACCCGGTACACCTTTACCGCTCGAGGTGTACCATCACGACAGAGAGCAAGATCCTAAAACATCCTAAAAACCTACGTGGCTCCCAGGGTATAGAGCCCCTGGTTCGTCCGTGAAACCATTCATTTTCCCTATAAATCTAACCCCGTGGCTCCCAGGGTATAGAGCCCCTGGTTCGTCCGGACCTCTTTTCTTTTCCTAACCATACCCAAAACCACCGGTCGAGTACTGCCCCTCGACCGAATCCAGGATCTCGCGCTCCCGCTCGTAACACGATAAAGAAACATCTACTTAATATGTGTTTAAAATTTTGAGAAATTCAGCCATTCAAAATAATAGCCTATTATTACATGAAAATTGTACTGTGTTACCTTGAAAAATGACTGAATACTCGAAACAAATTTTAAAATATATTTTTTGCAATTGTATAATAATTGTTTACTTTAAAAATCGCCTAAAATTATTATTACTCGTTATTTCCACTTGTGTTAGTGTTTTTAATATTGATTATGGTATTACCGCTTTTTTGTTGATTTTATCGTCTTATAGCAACATGAATCATTACAAAGACCCAGCGCAAGAAGAAGTAGAAATAGCAAATATTGGTCAGACAAGTTATATTCAATCGTGTACGTATCTGATAAATTTTCAACGTCAATTATCTAGAAAATGAAAACTAGCATAAAGACACTTTATTCTATATTTTCGATACATGTAGTTTTTGGTAGTGCTTTACATAACTATGTTTCATTTAATCTGTATTATAAGTACTACACATTGAATTTACGTAACTTTGAATAATTTGATTTCATATTTTTTTTTATGCTTAATTGCTCCTCTATGTATCGTCGTAATATTAAAAAAAGTATTTTGTTTCTATGATTATATTTTATTTACACTTTTTATATGTATATATTATTTAAAATTTACTTATTTTCTGTGACTATATTTCGTAATTATGATCTTAAGAAAGACCAATTGGTGGGCAAAACGTCGAGTAAATATACTTTTTCACGTGTTTGGAGTAACGTTGTTTGTATACATATATCACTTTAAGTTTAGTTATATGTGTTGTCTATTACGGAAGTGGTGTAAGTTCAATTAAAAGAAATTATGTTTCTGCATGTACTGTTTAAAAAACGTATTCCTTCTTTCTATGAAGAAGATTCAGTATCAGTAATTTTAATTGCTAAACAAAATGAAAGAAATAGTCATTAATAGTCACAAAAATGGTGTACGTCCACGAACATGAATAATCTTATTTTGTTTTAGATTTATTGTCATACGTACCATTTGAAGATCACGATTATTTTAAAAAATGAACAAAAGATAATATACAACCAGAAATAAAAGAATAAGTTAATGAGACACATGTCCATACTTTTCAAACTCGAACAGTATACAATTTTTAATTCAATTCACATGCGATATTTTTTATACGTCAAAACAAGCATAAATATACTTTCATAATGTGAACAGCTCATAGACGCTAGCAACCAAATTTGTTAATGTAATCCTTGCGCAATATCGTTTTAAAAATAAAACAATGCTGCTGGTAATGAACATTTAATAATACCAAATGTGTGATCGTACCATTTATTATTATTAAGCATAACTTGTACTCGAAGATAATAAATTCACGATCTATACTTTGAGTTGTCCATGTAGAAATACAACTAATTGTAAGTATCAGAAATTGTCAGGAATGTAATTTCATCTATTAAAGCATCTACGATTCCTTAAAATGTTTTGATAAACTGTCTCATGACATATCACAATAAATCATAAATTTCTTCCTTTCATCTAGAATTTATGTTCGATAAGCGATAAATGGTCTAATGTATCTCTGTTCCTACAAGCAAGTTCCTTAAAAAAATAATAATCGAATCGAGTAGTGTTGTTTGTCTAAGCGTATTTAAGCTTAAAGAAATGGCTGAAGACTATCAACTTTGTCGTTTTATAATGCATGTATGATCTTTTAATAGTAACTAATGAAATTGTAGAATCGAACAAACGCATCGTATTTATACGCGTAATATTAAAAGTCTTTGTTGCAAGTGTGTAGGTGGTTTTAGATACAGTTTTTACTACGAGGAAAGTATGATGTAATAGAAACCTCGCGAATATGCTTCTGAAGGCCAGTGATTCCGTAATTTCTAATGACGAACCACAGTTTCAAAGCTCTGAATCTCTTTGACAATGGGATTTGCCAGTGCTAAAATATAAAATATTTGAAACGATATTATTTCAGTATAAGCTTGATAAAATGTCTCGAAATCACTGAATATTTACCATATAATCGATAGCAAGACCTGCAAATAAATAACACATGAATTCAAGACGTTGATTTTAGTAGGTACTACTTGAAAGAATTCGGTTCTCCGTCACCTGAATTTTCATGCTTCAAATACAACGGGTCCACGTTGAAAGTTCTGTGAAGAGCTTGGCTGCTTTTCACCCTGAAAGAATCACAGAAATTACTGCTTATTAGTTTTTCTACAAGGTTACTATACCGTACTGATCCGTCGTTCTCTCTACGAATCAAACGTTTTCGCGCAATCTTATTTTACACGGTCGATTTCATTTCAAGATATTTAAATCAATTTAAGATCTCAGTTCGCGCGTACGATTCGATTTTAACGTTTCAATAAAATATAAACGGACGGTAATGAAATGCAAATGATATATAAAGTTTTGCAACCATTTTAAACCAGATAAGGTTTAAATTTATTTTAATCTGTAAATGATTTATACCCAAGAAATACTCTATTGGATATATTCGTTCCTGGCGTTATCGTCTTTAAAATACTCTCAAACATCGTGTCGAAAGATTTTGAATTATGTCAGGTCGCTCGACGGAAATTACAGGAAGAATGAAAAAACCGATTCTGCGCCCGCAGTCCGACCTATAAATCGCGAGAAAGACAGTTAAAGATGATAACGTCCCGCGCTTACGAAATTATCGAGTTTGCAACGATTTGCGAATTTCCTTCACGCATTCTTCCGCGTCTATTAGCTATTAACACATTGTCGACCGCTAATACTTCACTGAAACTTTCCGTGAAATCGGCGATTTTAGTTACGTACAGTTATTTTAAAAAATGTGGAATTAAACTGGGATTATTTTTTTAAATTAAAGGAGTATTCTAGCGTGAAGAATTTTTTGCTACTAAACTATAACTCCTTTTGCAGTCAAATGTACAAGATTTATTCAAATGTACATGTTTTAGTGACATTTAAACATTTTGTAGTCATAGTCAAACATAGCCAAATAAATCAAGATTTATTTATACAGAGTGTTCGGCCACTTCTGGGAAAAATTTTAATGGGAGATACAAGAGGCCAAAATAGGACGAAAATAATTGTAATTGACCCCCTAAACCAAAAATGAGTTTTTTAGAACGATTTAAAATTTTTTTTTCGCCGAAAAGTTTCAGCATCCCCTTTGTCGATTTTTCTTAAACATTCGTTTTTTATTTTTACTAAATTTGTTTGACGACCTACGGAAATTTTGTTTACTACTTTTTTGTAGATATCCATGAGCTCTACTCCCATACTAAATTTCATTGAGATATGTTCACTATTGTAGAAGTTATGGACGTTTGAAGATTGGGCCATTTTTATGTGGTTTTTCTCACTTCACCGTATCAAGGAACAACTTTTCGAATATTCTTGGAGTTTCTACATATTTTTCACTAAAATACACGTTTTTTACCTTTTGAAACATTAAAATCCTCTAATCCGTTCAGAAGTTATGATTTTTTAAACATACGCATGAAATTTCAGGGTAACTTTTCTGGCCACATATATTTTCAGTAAAGAATTTTTTTCTCGAAAGTGTGTAGGATTTCGGAGGTATGTGTATCCACCAAAAATGATTGTAATTGACCTCTGCAACAGAAAATAATTTTTGCAGAATGATTTGAAATTATTTAATTTAATTTGTTAATAACTCTTTAATGAAACCTCAATCAACAAATTGATATTCTTAATTTCCGTCTCATTTTGGCCTCAAAAATCTCCCATTAAAATTTTTTCCCAGAGGTGGCCGAACACCCTGTATATGTTTTAGTGACATTTAAAAATTTTATAGTCATAGTCAAATATAGTCCTTTTTTAAAAAAGTCGTCTCACAGCGTCCGATTCCGGCCATTCTATTTGATTGGAATGAAAAAACGTGAAAGATTTTTAATTTTTATGAGGTTGGCTATAGCTAGTAGCAAGCCAAAAGAAAAAAACCGATAATTAAAAAAATGGCAACACTTTGAAGTTCGATTATCGATTTTTAAGTTTTGTATTCCTATAATAATGCCGTTGACCATCACATTCTTTAAACAGCTATAACTTCGTTAATTTTAGGAGTAAGGTTTTGCAGATACATGTTTCAAATTATATTCTTTGAGAAAATATAAAAGGAAAGAAATCGATTTTTTCAAAGGGTCATACTAGAATACCCCCCTTAATATTTATACATATACCTAAATGAAATATTTTATTTTAGATACAGGTAACTGCAATAAAATTGATAATGTTCGAAAGCAAAAAGATACCGTTACTTGGAAAACAATAAAGAAATGATGCCTGTGATCGAGAACGAGAAATCTCGTTTCTGGTCGTCAACGTATATTTTATGAAAACGAGAATTCTCGTTATCGGTCCTCAATGTGTTAACCGGAGCGAGTTTCATATTCTTCCTTGTGCTACTCACCACATTGCGTTGCAATCGAAGTGCACCATCAGCCATTTACTGGGATTAAACGCAATCGAATCGGCATATTCTATTCCTTGAAGCCAGCCTCGGAATTCGGGGCACACGAATGCACTGCCTGCATAGGCTGCATCCACGTGCAACCAGAGTCCATTTTCCATGCCTATCAATCGGGGGAAACGTTTGCAGTTTAAAATAAAATTAGTTATTTAACTTGTAAGTGATTATTGTAGTGTTCGCTATTTTTCTTTCATACATGTTTATACATATGATGTATATTTCAAAATAATAAAATAATAGTGAGAAACTAAATTAATATTTTGTTAATTTTCAATGCTCTGTTTGATTTCTAATTTGGTTAACCATTACATCCTGTTCACTTTTTATTTAACATACATTTTTAATTCTCGTTGTCAACTATAATATCTGTACACGGAGTTAAGAACACATAGTGATTTTAACATGATTTAATTTCTTAAGGAAATTTTTGATTTCGAGAATATTTTATATGGCGACAGGACATAATCTACTTGACGATATAAAAAATAATCATAATTCATGACTGATATTTCGTTATTTTATGATTTGCAATTGTATTGTTTTAAATAAAAATAAATATTCCAACTGGTCCATGATATTATTAAAAAATGTAATTATGAATAAATATTCCCAATTTTAGTGACTATTTACATGCAGTTATTATATACTATTTATTATTTACTATTTAATTCAATTGTTACTGAATGATTGTTATTAACATTTCAATAGAGAGTTTCTAACTATTTCTAAAAATACTTAACCTTCGTTACATTTATAAAAAATGAAAAGGGCAATGTTTTATTGTAAGGACAGACACAAAAAAATTTCATGTTTCATTTTACTCACAAACTGATCTAATTTAATTATAATTACAATTAGACCCAATTTTACTAGCTGCTTTCATGTAACCATGTTTAAAATAATTAAACGTATACGTATATATCAATATCTTCGACAAGGTTTACATCAATGATAGTGTAAAAATGACATAGTAATACTATCATTATATTTATTATTACTATTATATGACCGTTATTTACATTTCAGTAGAAAATTTTTAAATACTCCTGAAAGATACACCTAAAAAGTGTGTTTTATAATAACAAGCAAAGAATATGTTGCATTTTACTTACACACTTGGCCAACTTCTTTCAGATTGTCGAACGCACACGCACCAGTTGTACCCAACGTAGCGCAAACCTCCATAAACAAATGAAACGTTACACATTAAAAGAGTTTAATATTTTATGTGTTGCATTGATACATAGTCCCAGGAAAGGAAATATTATATGCACAAAATCTATTGTCCTGCAAGTTTCTTTTACCAGTGATATTGCACAGGACGTTCTTTTTATTTAATTTGGTTTAATTTAGTAGAATTTAAAGCAATATTTTTAATGTACCATTGAAATTTAAAAACAATCGCTATGAAAACTTTTTTTGATTTTCCAATAAAGTATTATTTTAATGGAAATGAGGTACCTGTATTTTATTTTTATAATAAATTATTTATTATAAAAGTATTATTTTATAATAAAGCAAAATTTTAAATGTAACATTGACATTTCAAAACAATCGCTATGAAAACTTCTTTGATTTTCCAATAAAGTATTATTTTAATGGAAATGAGGTATCTGTATTTTATTATTATTATTTAACTGTTCTGCAAAGTTTTTAACACGTCTTTTAAAATTCGTTTGAGCTTCGATACCATCCCCATTTTTCCCCAAATCTCTGTAATCGTTGATGTTCGTATTTATATAATATAAAATACTCCCCAAACCGATGGATTTCGTTTTCTCCTACCAAGTTGTAAATGTTGTTTTCGTCGGTCTATGAAAAACGAACGGTACTAATTTATAGGATGACCTGATCATTCCGTTATTAATAGCAGAATTTATAGCAAATTATAAATCTCTTAAGATGTCCTAGTAAAACTGTAGCAGTGTCACGATGGAAATTATTTATTTTTGATGATAATGAGTTTCTATCTTCCGGATTTTCTGTCTTGTAAAATAAGGGATGCTAGACACTGCCACTGGGGACCAATTAGCGAAAAGACAATCCGCCTTGCAACGTCATGTTCGCCCTCTTTTCTACCGCATCTACTAACAACATTGGTAGGGTTAATTGGAAGGTTGAACTTTTTTAATGCGGTATCACTATCCCCTATAATGACTTTAATTGGAGACAAAAGACATATGTATCTTCTTACCAGGTACTTTTTAATTTGATGCATTAGTAGTGGTATTGTTCAGAGTTACATATCATTTGTTCTCTACCTAATCTTTCTCAGTAGTCAGTGTAAAACGTGTTCTGTGTTCTTATTTCGATTTTCGAATAACTAAAAATAGTTATCAGAAAATATTAACAAATTCCTAAACTGTGTGTTTTATTTGTTTCCTTTTTATTATTATTATGTAATGGTATTAAATTTGTATATAGTTATATGTCATTTGTCCTTTGCTAATCTTTTTTTTATAGTTTACAAAATTTTTTAATATTTTTTTATAGTTATTTTTAGTTATTTGAGTCATGAAATATGTTACTTCAGTCACTATGTTGGGCAAATCAACTGGTTAAATGATATCGTTAAGACTTTTAGATGTCGATAGTGTGTACAAGTTATATAAGGTGTCTATGTGAAAAATCAAATCGAAAATGTAAAAAAAAATTTTTTCATACGTGGTTTCGTTTTCGAGAAAAACGATTTTGAATATTCATAGGGTAGACGTGCAACACAGTACGATTTTCACATCAGTATAATCAATGGAATTTAATTACTTTGAACATGAAGCGTTATATGAGAAAATTGTATTCTACACTTTCGATTTATTTTTGTTTATATAAAATCACCCTCTTTCCAGTTGATTACTGGTACATTTTGTATCAATATGTTTAAGAGATATTTATTAATAAATTAAAAAAACGTTTTTTCGAATATGGTGGTTAACATTAGTAACCACTTGCCACAATAATTTAACCCACAAGTTTGTATTAGTTTGCAAGAATATTATACTTATACTTGGATGGTCAACCATGCTAACCATTGTTTGTTTTTGAAATATAGTTTGTTTCTTATTATACGCGTGTCTAAAAATGTGCTCCATAAAAATTCAATATAAGTAAGCACACTAAACAAACATTATATTTAGATCCTGTTTATAGAGTTTGAAATTAAATAAAAATTTATAATAGTAAATTCTGTATATCAATACTCACAAAGAAGGGAAGCAGACCCTCAGTTCTATCGTGCATTATTGCCTCGAGTAACGCCTCGCCTCTCATACTCAGATCGTCGTCAGATTCGATATACTTCATTCGTACCAAACCTATGAGACCAGCCTTTTCTACGCTGGAATGAGCCTGTAGCACACACAAACGCATATACACATGCACTCATAAAATCGATCAAATTTTCGTCGTGAAGTACAGGGAAGCAATTGCAAAATGGATATGACATATTATAAAACGAGAAAAAGTGCTTGAATCGTAGATATGAATTTGAAAGAGTTACTTGGAATTAATGCTTCGCGACAGATTCGTAGTTGGTGTTTGTAAAGTGGCATTAAAATTTAAAAGAGGCTCCGTTTCCGAGAAAAACGATTTTAAAAATTCATAGGGTAGACGTACAACAGAGTACGATTTTCACATCAGTATAATCAGTGGAATTTAGTAACTTTGAACATGAAGCGTTATATGAAAAAATTGATTCTCTTTCCAGTTGATTACTGGTACATTTTGTATCAATATGTTTAAGAGATATTTATTAATGAATTAAAAAACGTTTTTTGGAATATAGTGATTAACATTAACAACCCCACAAGTTTGTATTGGTTTAATACTGGTTGTAAGTTATAAAGTTGTATTGCTTATTTTAAACGTGGCGTGTTTCAGCGAAATATTTATGAAGAAAGGTTCGAAAATAATAGCGTGTCGGGACAGAGAATGATTCGAAGTAGAGATACGTACTTGGTCGGAGCAGTAGGCGACAAGACGCGAATTAATCTCAGCTGGTAAACGGTCCGGCTCGTTTTGTTGCACGTCTCTAATGGCTCGGGTTCTTGCTGCGAGTAAGCAAACGAGGGTGGCTTCCGACGCGGTTGTTTGTATCACGCCACCGCCTCCAGATCCTCCTGGACGATGCAGGAATTCCTCTGGCAGACCGATCATTTTGCCCAGCCAGTTCATTACGATGGTCTCTAGTTCCGTGCACACAGGACTCGAAGCCTTTTAAAATGCACGCACAAAACTTAAACGTTTTACAGTGGAACGTATCGATGCTCGAGCAGACGGAACCAATTACGGACGATTTTAATTGTATTTTAAATGCGTTATAATGTATTGAATTTCATTTTAACTCTTTAGAAAGAAACTTTCCTTCGGTATTTTTGCATTAGTGAAATAATTAATGTTTGAGTCAAGCAATGAATAAGTAAATGTGTAGAATGTTATAGTATATTGTGGGCGAAATTTATTTTAATTGCATTTTAAATGTACTGTAATGTATTTAATTTTATGTTATTTTTCCAAAAAGATGCTGTTTCTTGAATATTTTTATGTTAATGAAATAATTAGTGTTTGAGTCCAACAATAAGTGAGTGAATGTATAGAATGCTATAGTAGGCTCTGTCTCAGCCGGTACCTATGGTACAACATCTTCCTCTACATAAATAAATGGTTAATCCGGAAATTGTATATCAAATATCATTGATAGCTGGTAAATAAAATAAAAAATATATATTTATTATTGACATTTAAATTTTGTCATTTAAACAAGCGAATATATATTGACAAATAGATATTATTATTCAAATTTGGACATAAGAAGATTAAAATATTTATTAAATATATTTTAGTATACGTTTTCTGTTAAAGAGAGTTTAAAATTCGCGGTCTTGGCGTCATGTTTCTATTGGTCACGTGCCCGCTTTAGTGGACAGAACCAATCACATGTTTCTTCTTTTAAATACTCGTGAAACTGTGTTTATTTGGAATCAATTCATCGCCTTAACATTTTCCCTCAGCACATTTTTATACAATTTTTATATTAATTTATGTTATTATTTATACCGAGTGAAGAACAATGTTAATTTAATTCCCTAACCTTTATTAACTACAAATGTACACCTTTAACAATTACTAATTTTAAAAATGAAAAGTAGAAACTTTCTTAGAAAATAAGTTGAAAACTATGTTGTCCTCGTATGTACTTATTTGTACTGCATTGAAAGTATCAAATATTATTATTTGTAAATATAAAAGTTTTCGACTATTAAACTCGCCATCTTTAGATGTATAATACAATATCAATTATATCTACTATAATGCATAGCAAAAATATTTTAACGATATAAATATAAAATTATATGTAGTGTGAAATTGACTTTAATTTGAAACATTTTTTATACTATATTATACATACGAAGATGATTAGTTTCGCTGTTGATAATATTTATATTTACGAATAATAATATTTATTATACACATTTACTTAGATAAATCTCTATTGGAATTCAAACAAATAGTACAAAAATAACTATTTAAAAAGAATTATTTAGTTAAATTCTTTACACTTTCAATATTTTTCTATTATTCTCAATTAGAATTAACTTTGAAGAATGTTTTTTTTTTTATTAAAGTTTAAATGTATCAATTGAAGTTTGAACGAGTCTGCTGTGGTACATGTCCTAATTGTAATTCAGAAACAAGTTTTTAATTTTTTTGTATATTTACAAGTATATAATATATTCTTGGGGAGGCATTGTAATATACTGAATAACAATTTATGAATAAAATTAATATTACTATTAATATTATATTAACATTATCATCCGCAGTAGTGATTTTAAATTTTCTTAGGAAACGATTCAAGACATTCCCTTTTCAAGAGCTTTGACAACAGAAATTCATATTAACAGCAGCAGACAAAACGTCCAATGTGAATGGCATAACTTTCGAACTCAATACGAAGTTTCTACAGAGGATCGCGATGTATCTATACGCGAGTTCTGCATTGAATTTTCACCATAGAATATAATAGTAATTATAAACTCTTTCCGAATAATTTGTCTAATTCACTATTCTAATCTTTCAATACGATTTATTGGAAAGTGTTTCAAGCAGTTCACCATCATTCGAATAAGATAAATCTTAATAACAATATTGCAAGTCTACAACAACAGGAACATAACTCAAAATTTTCCAAGCATCAAATTGGGTATGGATTTTTGATTTTTAATTTTCCACTTCAAAAATTTTAGAAACGGGATCTCAGAATATTTCTAACAATTAATATTTTTCAAGTTCTGTCATTCTTATTGCAAAAAATCTATGAATTTCAAAATAATCACAGGGATGTAATAATTTTTCAAATCAGTAATGGAGAATTTTAATTAATAAAATTATTTTTAAAAAATGACGAGTAATTGCCAGTTTTAAACAAGATGTTTTTATTTATACTTTAAGCCATATGCTTTAAATTATCAATTGTTAAAGTACCAGTGTTGAATCGATGAGAAAGATATTAATATCTTATTTTATATTACTTAAAGTCTGATTTGAAAATAACCATAGTATTGATGAATTCTTATTTTTTTTCAAAAATTATCAATGGCAATCTAAGAAGATTTGCAACTAATATATTTGTTATATTGGCAAGCATACTCTTTGGTAGAATTAGTTTAAGTCTGCACATATGTGATAGGCAATATTGTTCTTACTCAAATAAATCTATAACAATTGGTAACCATAATACTGTTGAATTTTGATTTAACAATTACTTTTTTCCTAAAAAATTATCAAGGGCAATCTAAGAAGATTTGCAATTAACTTATTTGTTATATTGACAAGTAATTACCAGTTTTAAACAAGGTGTTTTTATTTACATTTTAAGTCATGTGTTTTAAATTATCAATTGTTAAAGTGCTAGTGTTAAATCGATGAAAAAGATATTAATATCTTATTTTATATTATTTAAAGATAACCATAATATTGCTGAATTTTTCTTTTTTTCTCAAGAATTATCAATGGCAATCTAAGAAGATTTGCAACTAATATATTTGTTATATTGGCAAGCATACTCTTTGGTAGAATTAGTTTAAGTCTGCGCATATGTGATAGGCAATATTGTTCTTACCCAAGTGAATCCAAGACAATTGATCGCGTCGGCCAACATATCGCCCAGCAGGCTGGGTGGTGAATTCAAGGCGGGAAAATAAGCGTGCATATGTGGACTCTGCCAATGCGTCACTCCTGGCATGATGCACTTTTCGATGTCTACAAATATGTCCTCCCAAGGTTCGCCGTCCACCGGTGCCGACGATGGTAGGACATTTCTCAAGTAACCTGGAGAAACCGCCGGATAAACGCGTCGAGTTCGAATATTTCCCAGATAGTCGGCGATGTAATCCACCATTTCCTTTCCTGCAGATACAAAATCGTTTCACGAGTTATAGTTGTGGTAAAAATTAACTGAACATTTGTAATAAGTAAAAAAATCAATTTAATTTATCGATAATAATCATCGTAAATTCAAAATTTATTTAATGTAGAATTCAACAAAGTATCGGTTTGTCGATTATGTAAGAAAATCGATTGTAACATATAATATGTTAATATTTTTTTTTTAATTTCATCGCGATAGCTAAAATCGTACACGGTCAAAATTAAGCGAATAAATATTTATAAAACGAATACTTATTAATACTTGGTATTGTAACCTTTTGCTTGTATTATTGCTTTTAAGTATCGTGGCACATTTTCTACAAGTTTTTAGGACAATTTGTACAAATTTTAGTTGTAATTCGGATAAAACTCCACAAATTTTAATAAAATTCATTAAAAAAGGAAATATATGATTCAATGAAAAGAAATTCAAACTAAATATTCATGATGGCTTCAATTACTTACTGATTATCAACAGATGTTAGACAACTATTTATTGCCGTTTAAGACATTATTAGAAGATAACAAGAACATTATTCAGCAAAATAATACTCCCAGTCATGAATTATTCTCAATAAAAATATAGTTTCAAGAGTTGTTTCTATAGCCATAGAATTCTAATTTGAATGCTATCAAAAACATATAGAGTATTATTGTGAGAAAAGTTTATCATTAGAATTTAGAAAAACGAATAGACCTTGCTTGGACAGATATTCCAAATAAAACTTTAAATAAATAAATCGATAGTGATTTAAATACTAAATGAAAAATAATTAAAATAAACATTGAGTTTATATTTTCCATAATCTGAGGTACAATTTTAAAAGAAAATTATATTTTCTTCAAATTTCTGAAGAGGAATATTTTTGTTTGTTATTTCGAAATTTTTGTTTCGTATCACAATACGAAAATAAACGGTTTTTTCCACTTTTGTTTCAATATCATGAAAAATAATATGTTGAAATTTATAATTATTCACAACAGTATATATGTTTCCAAGTCGATAAAAGTAAAAATATGGCATGTGTTATAAAATAATTATGATTAAATTTTCGTTGCTTCTACTATAAAATAATTATTAAAAGGAATAGTGGTTACGTTTGAATAAAGACGTAATACAAAAACGTGCAAACGGTTTCTTCGACTTAATTAAAATTCTTTGCAGCACTGTATTCACTAGAAAATATAATCAATAGTGTTGTATTCCTAGACAAAACAGAGTACGGGACGATGTATATTACGAATCAATAGAAACGAAAGCTGAACGTCGACGTTTTCCGGTCGAGAACAATTATTTATCTTCGACGGAAAACCTTAAACCGATTATCTCCGGTGCTCCGTATTCTGGGGATTTAGCCTCTAATATACCAGGAAAACACTTCTGACGATGCTGTGGCGGTCTCGGGACAAAGTTTTTGTCTTTCTCCCAATTCGTTCGTCGATGTATATCGCGTCTAACAATGGAACAATGGAATTCGACTAGTGTATTATTTAAACGTTTCCGTGAATCATGGGTCAAGTACGGTCTCCTGTAAATCCACGACTTCTTAACCGTTCGGGGTACAGAGCCGACAGAGCGATAGATTTTTACAGACGAAATTGGATTCAAGGAAAAGAAAAGTCGCGTTGAAATCGTTCCTCTAGGATTCCGAGATTTAGATTGTATAGACGGAATCTAACGGTGACCGTATTGGAAACAGTATCGAATCCATAAACTTCCCATAGACTTACTCCCGTTCGGTGATCCCCCTTTATTGGCACCATTTTAACGGCTAGGAACGTATCTGATGGCGTATTCTAAGCTCCTTCTTTTATGCATGCGTATTTGCCCGTGTGCAAGATTACAAGGTTTACAGACATTTACAAGACCGATATCCGTGGTAATGGGGGACACTGCATCAAGATAACAATACATTATCGAGCAACGCCTATTTATTTAAATGCACAGTACCACGTGAAACACCACACTCACGCCTCTAGGAAGTTGTGACCTATCGATTCTATAGCAAGACAGGAATCTACAGTGAGTGTAAAAAGTATTCGTACATTAGTCAATTTGAACAAAAACTTTGCAGAACTTTGTTTATTAGAAAAGTATGTTAACAAAAACATACATATATATTCTTAGAAATCTCTGGAACAAATGTCATTAACAACAAATTATTTATTTATATTTATTATGAAAATATTAACAAATTTCCAGAAATTGGCGTGAAATATACGTGTAATAAGTATTCGTACACTTCTAATTTTACAACAAAAACTATAAATTTTAGTATATAAACGTAACAAAAATCAGTCTATTTGCTATTTTAGTATCTAGTGGGATTTCCTTTAGATTGTATAATCGCTTTAAGCCTTTGCGGCATTGAATTTACTAAATTTTTGGTTATAGTACTAGAAATTTTGTTCCATTCCTTTAAAAGTGCATTTTTTAAATCTTGTTTCGAAGAAATGTGATGGTCTCGAATTTTTTCTTCAAGATGACTCCATAAGTGCTCTATCACATTTACGTCTGGAGACTGTGGAGGGATTTTTAATTGCTGCGGCACATTATATAGGATCCACTGACGTGTATTATAAGCATTATGCTTTGGATCATTATCTTGCAAAAATATATAATTGCCCTGTAACTGCATTTTATTTGCACTAACCTGAAGATGCTCTTTTAGAATATCGATATACATTTTGTGATCCATGATACCATCGATAAAATGGAGGGATCCAACCCCGCTCGCACTCATAGAGCTCCAAACTGTGACTGATCCTCCTCCATGCTTTACGGTCGGCTTCAAATTTCTTTTTTCGTACTCGGTATTTTTTTACCGCCATACTGTACATCGTCCATCTGACCCAAATATGTTAAATTTACTCTTATCAGTAAATATAATACAGTTCCAGTGCTCCATAGGAACATTAACGTACTCTTTCGCGAATTGCAATCGTTTCTTTCTATTAATTTCATTTACGAAATATTTCTTACGAGCTACTCTGCCGTGATATCCTCTATCCCGTAAAAAATTAAGCACTGTGCTACTGCATACATTAATGTCCAGATCATTTTTAAGTTCAGCTGTGATTTTCACCGCACTTATCTTTGGATTTTGCTTTATTTTTCGAATTATCCATCGGCCGGTATACTCATTTATTATTCGTTTACGTCCGTTTCTTGGATTAGTTTTTACAGTTTTTCGATCGCCATATCTGTCAATGATTCCTTGAATCGTGGACCTCGGTCTATTTAAAACTTTAGAAATTTCACTCAGTGTTTTACACTTATTATGTAAATTTATAACAATTTTCCTTTCTTCTTCAGAGGTTTCCTTGCGTTTTCGTCCCATTTTACTGATAATTTCGTTGATAATGTTTGAATTCAGGATACTACCTATACCGACAGCGTCTCCAGACATGCTGATGCTAAGTATGTTTACATATCATGGATTATCTTGTAATCGTTCTATGTGGAATGTTACGAATCAAAGACTGTACGAATACTTATTACGCGTATATTTTAGGTCAATTTCTGGAAATTTGTTAATATTTTCATAATAAATATAAATAAATAATTTGTTGTTAATGACATTTGTTCCAGAGATTTCTAAGAATATGTATGCATGTTTTTGTTAACATACTTTTGTAATAAACAAAGTTCTGCAAAGGTTTTGTTCAAATTGACTAGTGTACGAATACTTTTTACACTCACTGTATTTGTAATCTACTATATACATCTGTATGTAATAATTATTTTATTTAAACACACAGTACTACACGTAACACCATACAGTCGCCTCTAAAAAATTGTAACCTATCGATTCTATAGCAAGACAAGAATCTATTTATAATCTACTATATAAACTTGTATGTAATAATTATTTTATTTAAACACACAGTACTACATGTAACACTGTACACTCGTCTCTAAAAAATTGTAGCCAGTCGATTCTATAGCAAGACAAAAATCTATTTGTAATCTAGTATATATATTCGTATCTAATAATTATTTTGTTTAAACGCAAAGTACTACATGCAACACCATACACATGCCTCTAGAAAGTTATAGCCTATCGATTCTATAGCAAGACAAGAATCTATAATTTACAATATAAATTTGTATGGAATAATAATTTTATTTAAACACACAGTACTACACGTAACACCATACAGTTGCCTCTAAAAAATTGTAAGCTGTCGATTCTATAGCAAGACAAGAATCTACTTGTAATCCTCTATATAAATTTATATGCAATAATAATTTTATTTAATAATTATAACAGAAATAAAATACGCACCAAGAATAAAAAATGTAACACAAAATTCGATGTCTCTACACTGAATCTAGGCAAGCGTCAAATATAGAATATTTATTAATACCCAGATAACAACATTTCTTCGTATATTTGTAAATTATTAAACACATTATATTGTTATTTGGAGAAAACCACTAGGGTTAATCGAGACGTATATGTAATATAAAACTATTATTTTTAATATAAAACACACAGTATTACACGTAACACCATACACATGCTAAAATAAAAAGTTATAACCTATCTATTCTATAGCAAGACAAGGGTCTACTTATAACCTACTGTCTAAAATATGTTATAATGTAAAACGTGTAATGAAAAACAATTTCAAAATAGATTAAAATTATCACTAGATTTATGGAACACGTCACTTTGACGAGCTATTTGTTAGCAATTTGTGTTGAATTTTGTTGAAGTAATAATATAATTATATATTCTAGTTAAAATAAAGACTGCATTTTAATGTAATCAACATAATGAATTCTAGTAAAAATATGCCCAATCGATGTTTGTAAATCTAGTGTTAAATGACAAAAGATTCTGTATTGTCTCTCATATCTTGTTTTATTTATCAATGAAACATTCTACCATAGAAAGTTTCAATATTTTATCGATCTTGAAACCAAGATTTCGAATTTGTTTAATTTATTTATTCATTATACGACAATTGAATTTTCTTTTCGTATGAAAAGATGGCGAGAATCTAATATATTATATAAACTTTAAAGGAGAATTTATTTGTTCATTTTCTTACAAAAATTAAATTCTTTCTGTACAAAAAGAAAAATGAATAAAACTTAGCATAGGCAACACAGAACGGAAAATAAAAAATATGTACGAAAATATAATAAATGATAGAGAAAAAGAAATAATAATATCAAAGAAAAGATTATCAGCTGGACCAGTATAATGAAATGGCTTTTTGGGTAGTATATTTAAAATTATACAATTTTCAATTATCAGTACATATTCTAACAATCATCACTTTGAACCATAATAGAAATAGGTACGTTATAATATGAGAAAATAAAGAATAGAAGTAGAAATAATATCTTGGACTTTCTTTTATAAAAATAATAGTTTTATATTACATGTACGTCTCGATTAACCCTAGTGGTTTTCTTCAAATAACAATATAATGTGTTTAATAATTTTCAAATATACGAAGAAATGTTGTTATCTGGGTATTAATAAATATTCTATATTTGGTGCTTGCTTAGAGTCAGTGTAGAGACATCGAAATTTGTGTTACATTTTTTATTCTTGGTGCGTGTTTTATTTCTGTTATAATTATTTTTGCGTTAAAGATTTTTATGATTCTTGTGACGTGATACAAATTAGTTAAAAATTACTGTATAGTTCTCAATGTCTTTTTGCTCTTACGTACAACGTTGTACACGCTCGTCCATGATACAGCAGGCATTTATAAACTACATATTTACAGATAACGTTACTTTTGTTTTGCATGTACGCAGATAACAGTATACGCAAAAACAAGCAATGTCGTTATTATTTCAACACAGTATCATATAATTCCAAGGACTATAATTTACTACATACTATCGTCCGAATAAATTATAATCGTTACTTACCATGTTTGCGGTACTCCTCCAGATTCATATTATCTGCAATGAAAGCAATACGCACACTATAGTACAAACAGTTTACAATGAACAATATTATTGAATATACTTGCAGACACTAAATAAAATTTCAATTATTAAAAAGTTAGAAGTTAATCCTCGCATTTCTTTTCATCGAATATTCTCACAAAGTTGGGCAAATGTTATTTATAAATAACGAATATAAATTTTAAATCGATTCCTAAACTAACTCCTATGTTCGTTTTAATCACAAATTCATTTATAAATCAGAATTTATCGATGAATTTTTTAAAGCAATATTCGGACGAGCTTAACATTTTTATTCGTTATTCGAGAATAAAATTTTCCCAACTATGTCGTACGGCAACACTTAACACATTGTATATCATACCAAAATAAATTATTAAAGTCTTAAAAAAATTTTAAACATACTGTTTTGTATAATATATTTACACTACATCTTTAAAAATCAAATTAAAAATGCATAATTGGCGAATGGAGCGATTCTTTGAAGTTTACTGACGCAGAAAAATTATTAAAAATTACCCGCGCGCCGTAGATTGAAACTGTAACGTTATGAATTACGTACACTCGTTTACACATTTTATATAATGTATCTGCACTGTATCTTTAAAAATCAAATTAAAAATGTATAACTAGCGAATTGAGCGGTTCTTTGAAATTTATTGACGCAGAAAAATTATTAAAATTGAACCAGCAAGTGTTATGATTGAAACAGTAGTGTTATGAATTACGTACACTGGTTTAGAATGTGTTAATATCAACTTAACAGGTAAGAAAATATTCGTGAAGATTATTTCTCTGAACACTAACGTATCGATTAACGATTTTGGTTAACGCTCACCGTTGCACCTCACAATAACCAAATCTCGAAATTTCGATGGCACCGTATCAGGCGCATGTGGTGACGTTTAATTGATCTCGCCGCCGGAAGTGGTAGTTCGCGGAAGGGAGTCAAGAATCGCAGCGCGTTTCGTGGAAGCTTAGATTTTAGCGAGCGTAAAGACTGGATACGCTTAGTCGTCCTATGCGTGTTGACCTAGCATCGAACTTTCACGCCGCGATAGGTACTCGCGAATGATTTTGTAAGGATTCATCGTCGATCGATTGTCACATGGGCCCAGAGCTTATTAGGCTAGTGTCACAAGGCTCCCCCCGGCCTAGAACTAGATCGTACGCTTTCCCCGATTCGACTGCGCGATTTGACCTTTCCTCGTAACCTTTTCTTTCGTGAAAAACGTCTCAAAACTTAACACATTACTCAACCAATCGAGGAAATATCCCTCTTTGTGCTTACAAACATTGTACTTCTACTAACTGTAATCTAAAATTAAAGACAACATTATGGTGGTATTCTATTTTCAATCTTTTGAAAAAATTAATATTTCTGTTAGATTCTTCTAAAGAACATGCTAGTGCCCAAACATCTCGTTTCTTTCATATTTTTTTAATCCACGAGAATGATAAAAAACATTAAATTAATAATTAACCTAACCCAGACCTAACCCAGACTTTTCCTCGTAAACTTTTCTTTCATAAAAAATGTCTCAAAACTTAACACATTACTCAACCAATCGGAAAAATATCCCTCTTTGCGCTTACAAACATCTAGCCGCATTGTGCTTCTACTAACTATAATCTATAATTAAAGACAACATTATGGTGGTATTCTATTTTCAATCTTTTGAAAAAATTGTTTTTTTTGGTAGATTTTCTTAAAGAATATGCTAGTGTTCAAGCTCCTAGTTTCTTTCATATTTTTTTAATCCACAAAAGTGATAAAAACCATTAAATTAACAAATAAAATTTTAAGTGTTGCCATTTTTGTAATTATTGAGTTTTTATTTTTATTTTACGATCTACTATAGTCAAACTCATACTAATTAAGAATCTATTTTCAATTTTCATTTCAAATTTGTGGAATGGTTAAAACCATAGAAACCATAAGACGTTTTAGAAAATGCCAAATGACTAATTATTAATATTTTACTTCGAAAAAATTCGTACAAATGTCACAATTATCAATAAACATTTTAATTGAATTAAAATTATTTTTCGCAGTCTGATATTACGGGACGAAATTTTTCGGAATAAATTCGTGCAATAAATAGTAAAATATTGAACAATAAATTTAAACATGATTATATTAATTTGTTCGCGATGGTTTTGCTTTATAAATTATATGAGAAGTAAGTTCTTGGAGTAAAAGGTTTCCCCTCTTTTCTAAATCATTTACAATACAATATTATGTAGTATAAATATAAAACAAAATATATATGTATATGGAATAAATTATTCTAGATTGAAAAGTGCCAAATAAAAATTTATCAACGAACGAATATATTATTAACAATAATGAATGTAAATTTCATACCCATTTAGTTTTTCCTTATCTTTAATAATTTATTTTTTACATATGTTTTGATTTCTAGCCCGGAGGAGGTCAAACATTGTAATAATTGGTTATAAAATATTGCAAATCGATATTACAAGGATTAAATGAAAAGTTACGTAATTGTAATTTACATAAAGATATTTTAATTAACGAAACGGGAAAATAAAATCCTTGAAACGAACTTTTGTTGCCAGTAGGTTTTCTACATTATGTACACCGTTCACAGTACATTTCTACTAACAAAAAAACAAATTTCTTCGAGCAACTCTAAGCACGAATGATTCTATATTTTATCTTTGTAATCAGACCCAGAAAATTTTGTTTATTTTTTTGTTTAAATATAAAATGAACATTGATAATTTAAATTGATAATGATTGATAATTCAAATCGAGGCGATTAAACTTCTAAATTGTATCTTCACAGTTTCGTATTAAAAGAGGCCTAATATTATCTAGTCGTAAAAAAATATTCTTTCTGTATTTCTGAACTCTGTTAATCGTTTAAAAATAATGCCAGGATCTGATTGTGGGGAGAAAGTGTTAAAGTTCCTTTAGAACGACTCGAAAACTCGCTATCGTTGGCCGAGGTGTATGGCGAATCGTGATGATTACACAGAGAAGTAAATATAAACGGAACAAAAGCGCTCGCTCCAAAGATTATTTTCCCCCTTCATTTGTTAAAATACTCCAACTTAAATTAAAGTTATGGAGGCATTACTTTTCACTCGAGCATCATAGTATGAGAAATTTCCTAGCTCCTTTTCAAGTGTTAATTTCCTACGAAAAGTGAATAAGAATAGTAAAATCTGTGATTATCACGCGATTAAGTTAACGTGTACGTAGTTTATTTAACCAATGACGTTTCGTGCACGAAGAAGCTTGATCCACTACAAGAAAAATTGAATATACCTCCCAATAATATTTGAAAATTAGGTAATAGTAAAAAAGTATACTTATAATTTATTTGAAATAAATATTATTACGTAGCTTTGAAACACAACAAATAATTAGGAGTTTTAAAGGTATTCAGAATCGTCAGATGTATGTATATGTTTATTCCCTATTATTTTCTATTATTTCCTATTACTTCCTTGTTCGAAGGTATCTTTAATTTTTCTTGGTGAGGAACTATAGAAATTTGTCATATTATGAAACATGTATTGATATCATTACGTTATAATATTTACGATTTCTGTAATTTTAAGTATTGACGAATTCTGTAAATCTAATGTCAAGCTATGAATTAAAACACCAACGGTTAAATAAACCACCATAATTAGAACTAAGCATAATTTTCGAGAAAGTACGTATAAAAGGGCTAATACAGCATTTTATTTCTTCAAATTAATATCAAAATATAGAAAATATCAATACAACGAAATAGATTCATACATTCAATTATTGTTTTTATCTGAACCATTTGAAGAGCATAATTGCTTTTTTACAAGCACACTACCCCAGAAACGCTTTAAGGGTAGAAAATTTGCTACTCGTTCTACGATTTTGCAAGTGTTAGACTTGAGTAACGATAATAGTATAAATAAAGCTACAACAAGCAATAATATGTAAGGAAAAACAAAATAAAATAATTAATGTACGCTGCAAGGATAGTTTTAACCAGTTTAAGGATTCTTCAATTATATCTGTTTTTGTGTATACAAAGTTAGCATGAATAATCATTCTATTTATCTTGGAGAATCTTGAATAAGAATTAAAGTATGGCCAATTAGATCTTAAGTTTTGTTACACGAGTAGAACTTAGGCGGACAGCCGTAAGAGAATGTTGGAAATAGGAATGGCTTCTTCTCCGATATTACTTAATCCTGTTTTGGGGAAACACAGAATCTCACTCGCGAGTATCGCAGAAATCCGAAGCTGTTTATGTCTTCTGGGAAGTGGGACTAACGAAGTCAGCGTTCAAGTTGATTTTGCAAATTAAATTATGGGTAGCAGTAAACGTTTTGGGACATCTAATATTTTATGCGATTGGATATATGAACTTTTTTCAATTATAAAATGTTAACGAATAGATAAGTAAATAGTAAAGATAAAAAAAAATATGAGAAAATTTAAATAAAATTGAATAATGTATACATTTTAAAAGTTACTTGTAATTAAAACAAACATCATGGGGTTAACAATCTGTTCTTCCAAACTGACTTGTCGAAGCTACTACAAACATATTAAAACAGTTTTTTTATTATGAAATTAATACTACTTGTATATCGAGGTTTTCTTCGAATTATTATTACTTAATAATTTGACTGGAATGGAAAGTAATAAATTGATCCCGGATACAATATTATAAGAATTATTAGAGTTATAGAAAAAACCATATACACTCGAAACTAACATATTTATATATGATATTTTTGTTTTGAGATAAATAAAATTAAAATGCAAATGAACACTTTCTCCAGGTCAATTGTAACACGGAAGATCTTCAGGATGTTCACTCTATTATTTGCCAGTGATTTCTTCGAAAACTATTGTACTTACAAAAAAATGAAAGAGGCAAAAGTTTTATTAGGTGTACAAATGAATAATCCAAATTATCTTAAGCAGTTATAAAATCAAGTTTAAAGTCAATAGATTTTCCCGCTCTTTTGCGGTCATATAGTGTTGACATATAGCTAGTTAAAACAAAAAATAGTTTAGTGAAAGGCCCAACATAACCTTCAAAAGTATTCAATTCAGTAGAGTCGAAAATGGCAACAAATAAGGTGCATATCCAACACTGCATTTTTTACGAATTCCAACAAGGGAAAAATGCTGCAAGAGCATGCAAATCGATTTGTTCCTTCCTCGGTGAAGGTGTTGTATCATATGATACGTGCGCATTTTGGTTTAAGCGGTTTAAAAGCGATAATTTGAATCTAATCAACAAACAACGCCCTGGAGGTCCTCGGAAATGCGACAACGATGATTTGGAACAACTGCTCGCTGAGAATGCGGCACAAACTCAAAAAGAACTTGCAGAACAGTTAGGAGTAACCCAGCAAACGATTTCCAAACTCCTATGTGAGATGGGAAAGATTCAGAAAGAAGGAAAATGGGTTCCGTATGAACTCACTGCAACCAACAAAAATCAACGAGTGGCAGCGTGTCTTTCTCTTTTCAATAAGCAGCGTGGAAAGTCTTTCTTGTGGAAAATCGTTACGGGCGATGAGAAGTGGATACTCTATGACAATCCGAAACGCAGAAAGTCATGGATAAATCCCGGCGAAGCATCAACATCGGTTGCAAAACCCAATCGCTTCGGAAAAATGGTTCTTCTCTGCATTTGGTGGGATATCAAGGGCGCGGTTTATTATGAGTTGTTGAAAGCGAGTGAAACAGTAACTGCGGACTGCTACCAACGTCAATTAATCTGCTTGAGTCAAGCATTGGAACGAAAACGTCCGTATACTGGCAAAGGAGAACGTCCAGTGAAATTGTTGCATGCCAACGCCAGGCCACATATTGCTTCCCATACAAAAGACACCATAATGAGTCTTGACTGGGTTGTCTTGCAGCACCCGGCGTATTCACCAGACATTGCTCCATCTGATTATCACTTGTTCCGGTCGATGCAACACGCCTTATCCGATATGCACTTCCAATCAGTGGATGAGAT